GCAGCTGAGCTGGAATAAAAATAAATGAATAAATAAATTACATATGCAATTAGGTTGGTGAATTATAATAAAACAAAATAAAATAAATAAATTACCTTGTCCAAGTTGTCAACTGCCCCTTTGTAGCGGTTGTAATCGATGATTACGGTCGGCTTCTGCTGCGGTCCCTCCTGGATCTGAACCTGATGGGGTTTGGTGCCGAGGAGCAGAATGTTCTGCCGGCGCTTTGGAGTAGCTCACCGCGGTGGAGGTGAAGCCGAACAGGGAGGACAGAACCGCTCTGCTTTTCATCTGGAGCAGCTGTGGGGGCAACTCTGGCTTGTTGCGCCTAACTGTTCCCACAAGACAGATTTTTTTTTAGCAGCTCCTCTCCAAGAACCAGCGAGCTGTCCTCAATAGTTTGGATGTAGCTGACAGCGAGGCGGGTGATCCCACAATGGCGGACATCTGGAGCCCGAAAGGGAATCCTGGTGTCGGGTGTCGGGGACCAGGCGGGATCGCTCTTTGATTGCCACAAAGGATGGTCCCATCTCTCCTCTGCGGCAACCACCTCCTCATCTGAACCTTCTTCCATTTCTTCCCCTGAGTCAGGCCCTGGGGTAAAGGCCTGATCTTCAGCCTCTTCATCCGAAGAAGAGCTGTCATCCGTGGATGAGGATGAGGCTGACTCTCCCTCTTCCTCAAGCTGCTGAAACACCTCCAGGGCTTCATTCACGTTGAATCTTCTTCTCATGGTTGCGGTTCAAAGAAATGAATCCTGATCTGAGTCTCATATATGTACTTTTAGTCAATTGGTGCACCTGTGTAAGCTGCCCCTACTGAATGTAAACAAAATTCGATTCTGCAGGAATTTGTTTTGAAAAACAAATGTACGCCTGTGAAGTTTTTCAGCCTTCATCTTAGCTTTCATCCATGCAAATGCTTTGTACTTATTGAAATAACATTTTGCAAAAGTAAAATCATGAATGAGTATCTGAAATTTAGCAGAAAATCCTTTGATTTTTGATATATAGCATGCCTTTGATGAATATTCATGAAGTCAACAGAGTGTGAGAACCTGTGCCCCCCCCCCCATACACTCCTATTGCCCACACCTGCTCAACCACTCCAGATAATGATCACAGATCTGTCTTTTGAAGATCTGTAAAGTGCTTTGATACCTACATACACGCATGCCTGCACAATCACACACAAAGGAACACATGTCAAAATGCTATTTTGCAGAATAAGCTAATTTTGTACATTCAGTCAGGCTTATTTTTTGAAAGAACACTGAAAAAGCACAATTACCAAAAATTCAGAACACACACATGCAAACTATTGTATGGCATCTCTAAATAACACACAAACCATTTTTTTTGCAAAATATGTAATATAATGGGCAGTCAGAGGTAAAGAAATACAGCTAAATCATTCAGTTTAAATGCTGGGTCAGCCATTGCCCTGCTATATATGGAGAAATTATGCCATGTAGTGAAAAACGGTAAAAACTGCTTCTTACATTTGTGATGAGACTGTATACATGGGCACAATCATAATTTTTTAAAATTATGCCAATATATATGCTAATTTAAAATATATGATTTACATGAAAGTCAATGGCACAAAAAAATGCTTCAATGTGCTTAAATGTGCTGATGAGGAGCGTTTTAAAAAAGTAGGTTGAATATTTTTTCAAACTTTTTTTTGTAATTCCTTCCAAAATACACATCCTCAATAAAAATTAGATAAATTGCATTAACATAGCCAAAGTTATTCACAAAAATACACGTGTCAGCACAAAAAAATGCTCTAATGTGAGGTAAGGGTTAAGGAGTTGTATGCATGTTCTGTTTGAATTAGTTTTATTGTTTGGAAACATTTGTTTGAGAGTGCAGCCTCCTTTGAGCTGTCATTCAGTTTGGCTACCTTGGCAAAGTGTGTATATCCAGGGAGCAGGAATGTTCTCATAGTTGTCAATATCTGAATATGAACTGGAATCAGATTTGTGCGGTTTGCGTTCTCCAGAGTGCACGCTCTTTCAAATCCCCCAATAATAAGAGATCAGCCATGCTACCATGTTAGATTCCCATCAGATGCATGTGTCCCTGACACCTGCTATGTGATGAAGTAGATTTTACATCAAAGTAATTTTTTATTGGTTAAAAATAATTTGTGTATTAAGAACACCTGGGATGACTGAGACCTTCAGTAATGTGGTTACCTCATTCTACTACAAGATGCAGTTAGTACGCGTGGTCAGAGCTGTACTTATATTTAGGATCATTTCCATATACAAGTACAAGATAGTAATTACCACACAATGCTAAAAATTGTCCATGTCCAAAATATGCACAGATCTGTTTGTAAGCATGGTTGATAAATCAGGGCCCGGATCCTTTGGCCACCATCTTGGGTGTGCCCACAAATCCTGTCCATAAAAGTTATGAACAGAATCGGTGATGAAGGGCAGTCTTGGCGTAGTCCAACTCTCACCAGAAACAAGTTCAACTTACTGCTAGCAAAGTGGACCAAGCTCTGGCACTGGTCATACAGGGACTTAAGACTCCATAATCCCAGAGTACCCCCCACAGGGCTCCTTGAGGGACGCAGTTGAATGCCTTCTCCAATTCCACAGAACACATGTGGATTGGTTGTGTCGAACTCCCATGCACCCTCCAGGACCCCCTAAGGGTATAGAGCTGGTAAAGTGTTTCACAACCAAGATGAAAACAACATTGCTCCTCCTAAATCCAAGGTTCGACAATCTGATGGACCCTCTTTTCCAGAGGCCCTGAAGAGACCGTATTAGGTAGGCTCAGGATTGTGATCCCCCTGTAGTTGGAATGCACCCTGCAGTCCCGGTTTTTAAATACTTCAGCCCTGGTCTTCTAATCCAATGGAACTGCCCCTGATGTCCATACAATATGGAAGAGCTGCGTCAACCAATACAGCCTCACAACATCCAAAGCCTTAGAGAACTTCAAGTGGTTTTCATCCATCCCTGGGGCCTTGCGATCGAGGAATTTTTGACCACCTCAATGACCTTGGCTCTAACCCAGAGAGCCCAACCCAAAGTCCCCATACTCCACTTCCTTACTGGAATACATGCTGGTGGGATTAAGGTCTTCAAAGTACTCCACCCACTGATCCACAGCTATCACTTTAATGCTGGATGTTGTTGTAGGACCCAAATGCAGACCACCAGGTAGTGGTCAGTTGACAGCTCCGCACCTCTCTTTACCCGAGTGTCCAAGACATGCAGCCAGACATCAGATGAGATAACAAGAAAGTTGATCAACGAACTGCGACCTAAGGTATCCTGTTGCAAAGAGCACATATGGTCACCTTTATGCTTAAACATGGTGTTCATTATGAATAATCCTTGACAAAACACCACTCAGATTCAGATTGGGGGGGGGGGGGGGGGGTCTTTTCTCCCAACCATACCTCTCCAGGTCTCACTGTTGTTGCCCACATGAGCATTGAAGTCACCAGGGAGTTACCAGAAGGAGCACTCTCTGGAACCCCCTCTAGGAACTCCAAAAACGGTGGGTAGTCTGAGCTGTAGTTGGTGCATAAGCAAAAACCACAGACAGGACCCACCCCCTCTCACGTAGGCAGATGGAAGCTACCCCCTTTGTTCACAGGGGGAATCCTCAACTCACAGACACCAAGATGGAAGGCAACGACCCACCCCTGCTCAGCGCCTCTTAGTGGGAGCAACTCCAGAGTGGTAGAAAGTCCCTCCTTCTTGAGGGAACTGGTTCCGGACCCAGAGCCATGACTGGAAGTGAGTCTGACTATATCTAGCTGGAACCTCTCGACCTCACACACCAACCTGGTTCACATCGTGGGTGCCTTCCCCAACAGAGAGGTGACATTCCACGTACCAAGAGCTAGCTTTTGTAGCTGAGGATCAGATCAACATGGTCTCTGCCTTTGGCTACCATCCAACAAACAATGCACCTGACCCTTTGGCCCCTCCCAAGAGAGGCGAACCCCCCTTCCCATGGGCTCACATGTCTGTTCTTTGGGCTCTGCATGGCTGGGCTCCATGGGTGAAAGCCTGACCACCAGGCACTCACCAACTTGCCCCAGCTCCAGGCCTGACTCCAGAGGGGGACCTCGATGACACGCATGTGGGCAAGGGAACACTATTTCTATTTTTGTTGCTCACCATATGGTGTCTTTGGGCTGCACGTTGTCTGATCCTTTATCTAGGTCCTGTTGGAAATGGGTGACCCTACCAGAGGCGAAAAGCCTCGGACAACTTAGCCCCTAGGATCATTGAGATACTCAAACCCCTCCACCATGGTGAGGTGGCAGCCCAGGAAGGGGATAGTTGTGATTTTATAGTTATGATAGATATCATTATTTTTCCATGTCACCCACACCTATATTGTGAAATGAATATGTCTGTCAGATTTCAGAATCAAAGCATGAAATGACCTGAGCTTTGAAGCTTACAAACTTAGTGTTTCATTAAAAAGAAAAATCTAACTTCATAACTGGACATAATATAAATTCTTATTTAATTGCAGATTGCCTCCTGAGACTCTGTGTCCTTAAAATAACGGGAAAGATTTCTCATCACAAAGCTTGTTGTTTTGTTGAACCAAGACCTCTCGCCCTTTGTCAATGACTCTTGTTTTTAAAGTTTTGTTTTTATAATTTAACTTATACTCATAAAAATACTAATATATATTTATTTAGTTTTGAACAGCCACTTGTTAAAAACAAACAAAAAGCTGTTATTGGTGATTATTACATTGCACTATTTAACTTCCTCAGTGTATAGATGGGTGCAAACCAAAGGCTCACATTTCAGGAGATAAGGGTTAGGGTTAGGGTAGTCTCCTCGCCTTTTTGATAATTTTTGTTTTTACAAATTAGTAATTATTTCAAGCTTCTATTTTATTCAGAAAGTATAATCCTGTAAATATGCTGCAGAGTTGTATACAAATACAAAAACTATATTTTTCTTTAAGAAATACATGCATCATGTCTCTTGTTCACAGGTAAATGGGATCCCCCTAATCGGAGAGACCCATAAGGAGGTGGTCAATATTCTAAAGGAGCTACCGATGCGGGTGTACCTTGTGTGCTCTCGTGTTGTGTCCCCTCCAATTCGTGATAGTGATGAGGAAAATGATGAAGTCTGTCTCAGCCTGAAAGAGCTGCTGGCTGAGTTCAATGACAAGGTGAGGGCACAAACTGATGAAACATTAATGTCAAAACTATTTACAATTTTATTACCTTTACATGTAAATCTCCATTTAAATGTAGTTAAAAGTTACACCAGTTTACCATTTCTTTATGTTTTCTCTCTCTTCTCTGCTTGTCCCAGCTGGACCAGGGCTGTGTCATCCCCTGTCCTACAGCTGAGGACATTACCAAGCGCGGCGTGCCCCCTATGTCACCTCCTCTGGCAATGTGGGAGAAAGACGCTCAGGTGGTTGAACTGGAAAAAGGCGAATCGGGATTGGGCTTCAGTATCCTGGATTACCAGGTCAGAATCTACAAACAGAAATAAAACATACTGCTGTAATGATTTAAATGCCATGTTATTTAATAAGCCATAAGATGTAGGATTCCATAGGAAATATGAAATCAACCTTATGGATCTGTTGGGTTATTGTAACCAGAAGATTGGAACTTTTTAATGCAGGGGTAACAGCTTCGTATTCACTCAGAGACAATAGAAGAAAGAGAGTTGAGTTTAAAAGTTTAAAAATTTATTACTAAACAAATTAAACTAGACTAACTTTAACACTAAACGTATGGTGTAACTAAGGTGGATGAGACGGAGAATGGTGTAGTGTGGAATGTTGCTCAGAACCAGCAAATCCGAAGAAGCGATTAGTTCTGATGGGAAATGAAGGTGATGTCTTCGCTCTAAGCTTTGATTAGGAGATTCATAAACACATTCGACGCCATTTGTCGGTCTACATACTCTGGTGGAAGTCCCCGTTAGATCAGGAATGTCGAGGTCCAGCTGGACCCTCTCTGGAACCGAAGCGGTAGGAAAAGCAGCGGTTGCCGACCAGACCAGTCTTTGAGATACTTCCGGGTCACGATGATTTTGTTGGCATCTAGTGAGACCCAAACCTGGGTCGTGATGGTTCAGCTTTTATTCTGAAAGGAACCGTTGCAGCAGTTGGAACAGCAACAGATTTATCCAGCTTGTCGTTGGTTCTTTTGGCTGAAGAGGAAAGTTACGGATTGGCCACTCTGACAACTTCTCTAGAACGCTTTGAACTGGCGTTAAAGATGACGTGGACATAGTTTTATACTGCAGATGTTTTGGTTTATGGTCTAATGAAAAGTTGACAGATTTACCAAGCACCACCAAAACCACGCCTCCATCAGATCTGGCAGAGTCTGATTGGATCAGTGAAGCAATGTGTCGTCTCTTAACGCTACGTGAGATCAGTCCTAGTCAAAACATTTAAAGTCATATTACTTATTATATTCTATAGGATTATAATAAAGTCATTAATATTTTGATTTCACAGATTGGTCACATCTTATTATTGACTAACACTTTGTTAGATTAGCTTTATTAAAATAGAGTTCTTTGATTTATTAAAAGGAGAGAGTCCATTCTTCATTCTTCTCTTGAGCTGGAAAGAAAGCAGTTTATAACAAATGCATGAGACCTTGAGGCCATATCTCATGCAGACTAGTTCTGTGTCAGAGGAGAGGGGGGAATGACTTTTGGTGGAAAACAGTCATTTCATTCTGTTACACTGCTGAATTAAATTGGACAACACGTTTATTTTTAACCCTTTACTGGGCCAACGTCCATATTTAGACACTTACACTCACATCATAAATGATGTCAGTGTGCCTTTTCACAAACTTAGAATCACGATATTTCACCCAAACAATCATCAGAGATCAAACAAGTCACGGTTTGTGCCCTGGCGCCATTCCACCAATCAGTGCGAAGTGTCTGCAGAGCCAGAAAACCCCTGAGTCTCCTCTCATGTTTAGATCTTTAAAAATAACAATGCTAGGTTTGTGAAACTCTCACATCACAAGGCTGAATAGTTGTGCTAAATCAGGGTATTTGTGTTATTTAGGTTAAACTCAATTAAATTGGTGAAATCTCACCAACATCTGCCATATTTGAACATACGCCCTGAACAAGTAAAATAAAATATGAATATTTTTGGATAAACTTTGTTATTTTTTAGACATAATCTTAATATTCGTGGTAACAGTAATTATAACAATTATGATATTTAATATATTTTGCAGTTTAAAACAAAGATTTTGATGGAAAATGGAGGACAACCAATCTCGCCATCAGTGATGGTGATGAACAGGAGGAAGATGACTGAGGCAGATCCACAAATATAAAATGTTATAATAATCTATATTTGATCAAAAATAGCATCTATTGTTCAATAACTTTTCAAAAATATTTCACAGCAATCTGTTTTTATAAAAATATACTATATTGTTTAATAATTGTGTTGTATTCTGTATTTTTCAACAGTGATATCATGTTCTAAAATTAGCTAGATTATTCTAAAGTGTCTTATAATTATCTGTACTGTTAAAAATAATGTTTATTTAACTCATTCATGTGTTTTATTTGGGGATTTCTTATACCAGAACAGGGCCAATGCCCATATTCGATCACTTTGCTTTCTCTGGTTTTCTACATGAAAATAAATATTTCAGAAAATTGTACCAACAGAAACACACTTTGTTTATGGACTACAATAACACCCAGGGATTGAAATGTAAAAGTATAACAACTTCAATGAGTGCTCTGTTAATTGTTCCGTTTGATGAACGTTTTAAATAAAACTCTCCCTACAACCTTCTGCTTTACTTCAGGATCCAGAAGACGCCTCAAAAACAGTCCTGATAATCCGGTCCTTGGTGCCCGGAGGTGTAGCAGACCTAGACGGTCGCCTGCTACCTGGTGACCGATTAATGTTTGTTAATGAAGCTGACCTAGAAGGCTCCAGCTTGGATTATGCTGTGCATGTCCTGAAGTCCACCGGCTACGGCCCCGTTCGCATCGGTGTTGCGAAACCTCTGCCGGTGAGTCGGGTGTACGGATGTATTCCTTAATTTTTTGTTTTGTCTTTTTAAGAGAAGGGGCTTGCATCTAGTTTAGATCCATTCCAGCAATTTGAGTAGAAAATTACATCTCACAATCAGCTCATTAATATTCATCAAGTTCTTCAAGTATCTCATAGCATCAGTGAGACACATGAATCATTTTAATGTTAAAAATTAACAATTAGGAAGATAGAGTTGATCTTCGGTCAAGTATGTAATTTAATGAAACTACATTCAGAATGTTTTATATCAGTTCTAAGCACATTTTTGTTGTAGAAAATAACTTAAAAATCTGCATAACCAATTAAAGTCAAAGTAGGACAATATTTGCAATCTTTTTACGAGTTAAAGCAACAAAACGGAGTGTTGAAGAAAAGACAGTTAGAAAATAACTTACAGACCCCTCAGAATGAGTCAGTTCGTCATGGATTGGGTATCAGTCATCATTTATGGACATTATTATAACAGTCTTTACAGTATTCATCTATGGAGGTAGATGGATAATGGAAATTCATGGAAGTTCATAAATAAATAAAACCAGTACCTGCAGAAATCACGAGGAGGATCTGACTACTCAACTTACTGTTTGAGTTTCTGGCAGTTGACAAAACTACATAAAGATGCATCTGAATATTTTCTTTCCACGTCGCTGTCCATTAGGATTTATCTTAGATCTATTTCTTTATTCTTCTACTCTTGTTTTAATGTTTTGATCACTATTGTTGTTTGTTTTTAAAATGTAATTGCTTTTTAATGACTTGTTTCTTTATTTTACTGTAATGACAGTTTTTGTGTTTTAGTAGTTTTTTTATAACACAGGTCCTTGCCAAAAAATTAACATATTGTAATAAAGCTCATTATTCTCTGTAATGTACTGATAAACATTAGACTTTCATATATATTAGATTCATTACACACAACTGAAGTAGTTTAAGCCTTTTATTGTTTCTAATATTGATGATTGTGGCATACAGCTCATGAAAACCCAAAATTTCTATCTAAAAAAATTAGCATATTTCATCCGACCAATAAAAGAAAAGTGTTTTTGATACAAAAAAGTCAACCTTCAAATGATTATGTTCAGTTATGCACTCAGTACTTGGTCGGGAATCCTTTTGCAGAAATGACTGCTTCAATTCGGCGTGGCATGGAGGCAATCAGCCTGTGGCACTGCTGAGGTGTTATGGAGGCCCAGGATGCTTCGATAGCGGCCTTAAGCTCATCCAGAGTGTTGGGTCTTGTGTCTCTCAACTTTCTCTTCACAATATCCCACAGATTCTCTACGGGGTTCAGGTCATGAGAGTTGGCAGGCCAATTGAGCACAGTAATACCATGGTCAGTAAACCATTTACCAGTGGTGTTGGCACTGTGAGCAGGTGCCAGGTCGTGCTGAAAAAAGAAATCTTCATCATCTCCATAAAGCGTTTCAGCAGATGGAAGCATGAAGTGCTCCAAAATCTCCTGATAGCTAGCTGCATTGACCCTGCCCTTGATAAAACACAGTGGACCAACACCAGCAGCTGACATGGCACCCCCAGACCATCACTGACTGTGGGTACTTGACACTGGACTTCAGGCATTTTGGCATTTCCCTCTGCCCAGTCTTCCTCCAGACTCTGGCACCTTGATTTCTGAATGACATGCAAAATTTGCTTTCATCCGAAAAAAGTACTTTGGACCACTGAGCAACAGTCCAGTGCTGCTTCTCTGTAGCCCAGGTCAGGTGCTTCTGCCGCTGTTTCTGGTTCAAAGGTGGCTTGACCTGGGGAATGCGGCACCTGTAGCCCATTTCCTGCACACGCCTGTACACGGTGGCTCTGGATGTTTCTACTCCAGACTCAGTCCACTGCTTCCACAGGTTCCCCAAGGTCTGGAATCGGTCCTTCTCCACAATCTTCCTCAGGTTCCGGTCACCTCTTCTCGTTGTGCAGCGTTTTCTGCCACACTTTTCCTTTCCCACAGACTTCACACTGAGGTGCTTTGATACAGCACTGTGGGAACAGCCTATTCGTTCAGAAATTTCTTTCTGTGTCTTACCCTCTTGCTTGAGGGTGTCAATGATGGCCTTCTGGACAGCAGTGGTCGGCAGTCTTACCCATGATTGCGGTTTTGAGTAATGAACCAGGCTAAGAGTTTTTAAAAGTCTCAGGAACCTTTTGCAGGTGTTTAGAGTTAATTAGTTGATTCAGATTATTAGGTTAATAGCTTGTTTAGAGAACCTTTTCATGATATGCACATTTTTTGAGATAGGAATTTTGGGTTTTCATGAGCTGTACGCCAAAATCATCAATATTAGAAACAATAAAAGGCTTGAACTGCTTCAGTTGTGTGTAATGAATCTAATATATATGAAAGTCTAATGTTTATCAGTACATTACTGACATTAATGAACTTTATTACAATATGCTAATTTTTTGAGAAGGACCTGTATGTTCAGCACCTTGGGACCCCTTGACTGGGGTAGAAAGGGGCTTTATAAATAAACTTGAACTTGACTTAGCTGGTAAGGTATCCCACAATGCATTGTGTCACAAACCGCTATGCTTTAAAGGGCTGAGTAGACAGTGTATAAAGTTTAATGTGAAAAATACAAATAAAGAAATATAAATTTGTCTGCTGCGATGGACTGGCTCTCTGTCCAGGGTGTACCCCGCCTGATTGCCCGTTGACCACTGGAGATAGGCACCAGCACCCCACCCCCCCCCCCCACCCCCCACCCCCCCACCCCGCAACCCTGCGTGGACAAAGCGGTTTCAGAAAATGGATGGATGGATAAATTATTATCCATTATCTGTTATTGTAAATAGTTGCATGTAATTTGTAAATTTTGCTTTAAGTATTTGTATTTTTTTCTTCAGACTTCACAATCCCTCAAAAGGATAATTGACAAACCCACTATCAAAATAAAAGCAGCGGCATCTTAAATAGCTTTGTTTTGATGAAAAGGAATTTTTTTCTTAATTTAATAGTGAGAAAAGTGGGCAAACTATTGTACAATCGGCATGTATTCTTTCATTTTTTTATTTAAAGGATAAACTAGATGATTATTTTATATCAGGTCATCTTTTTAACAAGCAGCCCTGTTTGAGCAGTTTTACCGTTTTTTGAAGAGTTGCATAAAATTGTGCTCTATGACCATTAAACAGGACTAGACTCACTTCTTACATGAGGGACAATCAGTGTTTCTAGATTTGTTCGTTCTTTCACATTCCTTTGTCAAAGTGTGCGCTGCAGAAGCTTTTCCGGTTTGTGCCTCGCTTTAGGCATAGCGCCGTCCCAAAACGACCTCCTATCTCATGGATCGTTTGCTTGCTTGATGATCATGTGATGTGTGACACACCTAGGTGAAAAATCAACTTTAGAGCCGTGATGTTTACTCTCGAGGTGCACGAGCTCATTCCCAAGCCCGCCTCGTAAAAAAATGCCATTGACGTTTTTTAACCGTCAGTGGCAGTGAATGAATTCAGTGCAGTTTTGGTCTGCAGAAGGCTACTGGGTGCAATGTGATGCTGCTTCAGTTTATGGTTCAGGAACCACTGAAGCAAGTTTAAAAGCAATAGCTTAAAGTCTTTAAAACTGGCGTGCTTTAAGGATGTGCATGAATACAGTAACGGCTCTGCAGAGATTCTTACCACATACCTTTTGTGTTCTGTTTTGAGCGCGGTGGTTCGCTCGGAAGGATGTCGGGTCCACTCTGCCCATAAATCCATGCTTTCACACACGTTGGATTAACTTGGTCTGATATTCAGCGACAAACAAGTTGGCTGCCTGTTGAATGTGATACGGAGCCAATTAGAAAGTGAGGTGACTGATGCACGCTGCACTCTCCTCCTCTGCCATGCTGCTTACTTTGAAGTCACGTTTTGGCTCACAGGATTTTCTGTCTGCCCGGGGAACGTTCATATGTGTTTCTTGTAAATTTTTCTGAATTGTGATTTTTTTTATCACCACATGTGTGATTTCTCATGCACATGCACATCTCTCAGCACATTGGAAAAATCCCGCCGTGTTAACTATGAGATAACGCCTCTGAACATTTTTCTGTTACAAATCAAAGAAGAAAGAACTGTTAGCATTTATCTTGGTAATCTGGAGGTTTCTTGTGTTGACTCCTTATAAAAACAATAATGAGATATTCCTATTTTGACACCCACTATGCTTTCTTACCTCCTTGCTAACAGTTCGGTCAGTTGAACAAGATTCCATTAACAAAACATCTGTCTTGTACAGGCTTTATAATCCTCTCTATCATCCTGCTCTATTCCAGGGCTATTCAATTCTGGACCTCGAGGGCTGGTGTCCAGCACATTTTAGTAGTTTCTCTGGTCCAACACACTCGATTCAGTGGTCCAATCACCTGTGCAGCAGCTCATCAGGCTCTGCAGAAGCATGTTAATTACCTGCTGATTAAAATCAGGTGTGAAGCAGGTTAAACGTGCTGGATAACGGCCCTCCAGACCCTGCTCTACACGGTTATTGGTGTGTTATTTGGAATTCTAAAAATTATTGGTATGGTATTGTTCATATCAATATTTGCATGTGCAATCTAAAATGGTGGACACATACTCATTTTCATACCAGTTATACACCTTTAAATAGTTTTTCAAACTTAAAAGTTATAATAAAATCTAAAATAAACGCACAATAAATTTTTTCAGGAGACCAGAAAGGTATTGCATTTCTCCTTTTTTGTTTGGTACTGTGGCCTAGTAACAGGGAAGAGAGACTCCAGTTACAGGCCTTCTGAATTTTTAATGCAGCTAGAAGATGAACACAATCCTCAGATAGAGAGAGGCGTGGAGTTCAGGGTGTCAAATTTACAGTCACCTTCTGAAGCCGGTTTGCATCAGTTTGGATTTACAATTACTCATTTTTATACTCTCCAGGCATTTTTGGCAGGTCTTCCCATCATTTTATTAATTCATTTTTTCGATATTTCTTTTCTAATGATCAAATTTTGTCTTTGGAATATTGTACCCTCAGCTGGAGCTGTGCGGTGGCTTGACACCCATTGCTGAGAGGAGTGCACGGGCTTCGACCGATGACGCGGACAGCCAGACTCAGATCAGCCTGCTAGCAGAGCCAGCCGAGGCTAATTTCAACATCTCAACTTGGAAATCAGAGGACAACTTCAGCCAGCAGTGTCACGCGGTATGTTCCGCCAAATGAAATTAGGATCCGTATGATTTTTTGGATAAATGCACCTTTCACTTGTCTAGAAGAAAGCTTAAGTTTGTGTTAAGCTTATGCTAATTTTAATGAACGACTGAATGTTTATTTCAGTTATGAATTGAGCCTTAATACAATTTCATCTCATAAATAGTGTAATTGAACTTAGAATAAACTGGAATGGGATATTCTTGTCCATCCCGAGTTGCTACATATCAGCTGGAAATATAGAGTGGGTGACTTTGTGGAGAGAGACGACACACACACACACACACACACACACACACACACACACACACACACACACACACACACACACACACACACACACACACACACACACACACACACATACAGGTCCTTCTAAAAAAATTTGCATATTGTAATAAAGTTTATTATTGTCTGTAATGTACTGATAAACATTAGACTTTCATTTATATTAGATTCATTACACACAACTAAAGTAGTTCAAGCCTTTTATTGTTTCTAATATTGATGATTTTGGCATACAGCTCATAAATGAAAACCCAAAATTCCTATCTCAAAAAATTTGCATATCATGAAAAGGTTCTCTACACGAGCTATTAGCCTAATCATCTGAATCAACTAATTCACTCTAAACACCTGCAAAAGATTCCTGAGGCTTTTAAAAACTCCCAGCCTGGTTCATTACTCAAAACCGCAATCATGGGTAAGACTGCCGACCACTGCTGTCCAGAAGGCCATCATTGACACCCTCAAGCAAGAGGGTAAGACACAGAAAGAAATTTCTGAACGAATAGGCTGTTCCTAGAGTGCTGTATCAAGGCACCTCAGGAAGTCTGTGGGAAGGGAAAAGTGTGGCAGAAAACGAGCAGAGGTGACCGGACCCTGAGGAAGATTGTGGAGAAGGGCCGATTTCAGACCTTGGGGAACCTGTGGAAGCAGTGGACTGAGTCTGGAGTAGAAACATCCAGAGAAACCGTGTACAGGCGTGTGCAGGAAATAGGCTACAGGTGCCGCATTCCCCAGGTCAAGCCACTTTTGAACCAGAAACAGCGGCAGAAGCACCTGACCTGGGCTACAGAGAAGCAGCACTGGACTGATGCTCAGTGGTCCAAAGTACTTTTTTCGGATGAAAGCAAATTTTGCATGTCATTCAGAAATCAAGGTGCCAGAGTCTGGAGGAAAACTGGGTAGAGGGAAATGCCAAAATGCCTGAAGTCCAGTGTCAAGTACCCACAGTCAGTGATGGTTTGGGGAGCCATGTCAGCTGCTGGTGTTGGTCCACTGTGTTTTATCAAGGGCAGGGTCAAAGCAGCTAGCTATCAGGAGATTTTGGAGCACTTCATGCTTCCATCTGCTGAAACGCTTTATGGAGATGAAGATTTCATTTTTCAGCACAACCTGGCACCTGCTCACAGTGCCAAAACCACTGGTAAATGGTTTACTGACCATGGTATTACTGTGCTCAAATGGCCTGCCAACTCTCCTGACCTGAACCCCGTAGAGAATCTGTGGGATATTGTGAAGAGAAAGTTGGCAGACACAAGACCCAACACTCTGGATGAGCTTAAGGCCGCTATCGAAGCATCCTGGGCCTCCATAACACCTCAGCAGTGCAGAAGCCAGTCTTGAGAGTAACACCATTTAAGTATAATTGCGTTACTAACGGCGTTCTTTATTAGGTAACGGAATAATCAAATCAATTACTTTTCCCACCGTTGCAACGCTGTTACGTTACTGGGGACGGAAGGTTGTGCGTTACTATGTGCTTGTCGAACGTTGAGCAACAGTGTGAGGCTTTCTGACCGCCACACTTCAGCTGCAGCCAGGGAGAGAGAGGTGTCGGTAACGCACTTACAAACACGATGATGATTGGCCGGTTGGGCAGAGACCCTTACTGTCTCAGTCACAGCATGCTATCAACACAACAGAGCAGTGATGGGAATAACGCCGTTTAAAATACCCGTGTTACTAAAAAAAAAAAAAAATTTTCAGTAACGAGCAAACTAATTAATTACCGTCTTCTTTTATCAAAACGTTGTTTCTGTTACTGATAAAGAAATGCGTGCATTAAGCAGTGTGGTGTGTTGAAGCTGCCATCAGCTGATCAGGAGCTAAAGAGGCAGATGTTTTCATCCAAGCGCATCACGGCCCATGAAGAACGAGGAAGACGTGATGAATATCTACGGCTGCAGGTGTGGATCTGCAGCCGTGCCCTTCTTAGCGTGACAGCGGGACGTCCCGAAGGTCCGCTCACCTGTTCACCGCTCAGACGTCCTGATCTTCTACCTTCCTAGATCATCCAGCTGTAACCTGTTTCTGATCATGTCTTTAGTCCCGCTGTAACACTGATGCATCAGTCTCAGACGTCATGGAGCTCAGGTGTTATTAGAACTACCTGTGTGTGTGTGTTTACCACCCAGCTTCAGCTCTTCTGTGGTTGGGTCTGACCCAAGTTAGTACATTTAAGTCCTCCATCAGGCTTGTGCCTCTTCTAGTGTCATTTTAAAGGATTTTATTTATTTATTTAACCATTACTAGATTATCAGCAACAGAAATGCTACTAAAAACACACGTGAAGCTGGAAAAATCAGAATACTGTGCAAAATTACATTCATTTCTGTACTTTAACTAGACTGAGAGACCATTTAAAGGCTCGGGAACCTTTACAGGTGTTTCTATTTGCAGTTTTAAATTTTAGCTGATTGGGCTCTTGTTAAATATCACACAGTGACCTTTTAATAGTCTAGATTAGTGTAATGCTCCTGTTAGTAGTTCCTCCTGTTAAGTACTTATTTTATAAAATCATTTGGACATACATTTAATTATGTTCCAGTCATTAGTCATTTATACTTCACTATTGTAGTAATTTATAGTAAACTAAGTAAGTTCAGTTAAGAGGGGAACCCATTTTCTAGCATTCTTTAATGAAAAAAGTAACAAAGTAATTATTTTTCTTGGTAATCAGTTACTTTTATAATCTCGTAACTCAGGAACGGAGTTAATTTTTGGACAAAGTAATCAGTAACTATAACTAATTACTTTGTTAAAGTAACATTCCCAACACTGGCCACAGGCTGATTGCCTCCATGCCACGCCGCATTGAAGCAGTCATTTCTGCAAAAGGATTCCCGACCAAGTATTGAGTGCATAACTGAACATAATTATTTGAAGGTTGACTTTTTTTGTATCAAAAACACTTTTCTTTTATTGGTCGGATGAAATATGTAAATTTTTTTAGATAGGAATTTGGGGTTTTCATGAGCTGTATGCCAAAATCATCAATATTAGAAACAATAAAAGGCTTGAACTACTTCAGTTGTGTGTAATGAATCTAATATATATGAAAGTCTAATGTTTATCAGTACATTACAGAGAATAATTAACTTTATCACAATATGCAATTTTTTTCAGAAGGACCTTAATATATATATATATATATATATATATATATATATATATATATATATATATATATATATATATATATATATATATATATTTGTGTGTGTGTGTTTCCTGCTCTGTTAGTTTGCAGATACTCACAGCATACCAATCCATAATTTTAAGATCAATCATGAACAATGTCTTAGACTTAGAAGGGAAATAAGATAAAATAAAATAAAAAAAATCTAACCAATTCAAATCTAACCAAATATAACATTAGACAAATATAAATACAACCTTATCCAACTGAATACAGTATTTAACAAAATACATATAAGTAAGATGTTACAAACTTACTGGAATGTACTTCTACACGATAGTGTAATACTTCACGGACAGATAAGCGAAACAAATGTTTCCGATCTATGATGTCACCTTGTATGTAGTCAGTTTTCTTAGTGTTTAATGATGATTATCAAAATTCACAAGTTGAAACTGATTAGTTCATTGAACTTTAGATTATTCTCTTTTGCTGTCTTACTACAGGTGCTGGCCAGTAAATTAGAATATCATCAAAAGGTTGAAAATATTTCAGTAATTCCATTCAAAACGTGAAACTTGTACATTATATTCATGCAATGCACACAGACCAATGTATTTCCAATGTTCATTACATTTAAATTTGATATTCATAAGTGACAACTAATGAAAACTCCAAATTTGGTATCTCAAAAAATTAGAATATTCTGAAAAGGCTGAATATAGAAGACACCTGCTGCCACTCTAATCAGCTGTTTCACTCAAAACACCTGCAAAGGCCTTTAAAAGGTCCCTCAGTCTTGTTTTGAAGGCACCACAATCATGGGGAAGACTTCTGACTTAACAGCTGTCCAAAAGACAATCATTGACACCTTGCACAAGGAGGGCAAGACACAAAAGGTGATTGCTAAAGAAGCTGGCTGTTCGCAGAGCTCTGTAACCAAGCACATTAACAGACAGGCGAAGGGACAGAACAAATGTGGTAGAAAAAAGTGTACAAGCTTTAGGGATAACCGCACCCTGCAGAGAATTGTGACGACAAACCCATTCAAAAATGTGGGGGAGATCCACAAAGAGTGGACTGCAGCTGGAGTCAGCGCTTCAAGAACCACCACGAGGAGACACATGAAAGACATGGGATTCAGGTGTCGCATTCCGTGTGTCAAGCCACTCTTGAACAAGAAACAGCGCAAGAAGCGTCTCGCCTGGGCCAAGGACAAAAAGGACTGGACTGATGCTGAGTGGTCCAAAGTTATGTTTTCTGATGAAAGCAAGTTCTGCATTTCCTTTGGAAATCAAGGACCCAGAGTCTGGAGGAAGAGCGGAGAAGCACAGAATCCACGTTGCATGAGGTCCAGTGTAAAGTTTCCACCGTCAGTGATGGTGTGGGGTGCCATGTCATCTGCCGGTGTTGGCCCACTCTGGTTCCTGAGGTCCAGGGTCAATGCAGCCGTCTACCAGGAAGTTTTAGAGCACTTCATGCTTCCTGCTGCTGACCAACTTTATGGGGATGCAGACTTCACCTTTCAACAGGACTTGGCACCTGCACACAGTGCCAAAACCACCAGCACCTGGTTCAAGGACCATGGTATCCCTGTCCTTGATTGGCCAGCAAACTCGCCTGACCTTAACCCCATAGAAAATCTATGGGGTATTGTGAAGCGGAGGATGCAATACGCTAGACCCAACAATGCAGAGGAGCTGAAGACGACTATCAGAGCAACCTGGGCTCTCATAACACCTGAGCAGTGCCACAGACTGATCGAGTCCATGCCACGCCGCATTACTGCAGTTATTGAGGCAAAAGGAGCCCCGACTAAGTATTGAGTGCTATACATGCACATTCTTTTCATGTTCATTCTTTTCAGTTGGCCAACATTAGAGAAACAAACATTTTTTCATTGGCCTTTAGAATATTCTAATTTTCTGAGATACCAGATTTGATGTTTTCATTGGTTGTCACCTATAAATATCAAAATTAAACGTAATAAACATTGGAAATACATTGGTCTGTGTGCATTGCATGAATATAATGTACAAGTTTCACGTTTTGAATGGAATTACTGAAATATTTTCAACCTTTTGATGATATTCTAATTTACTGGCCAGCACCTGTATGTTCAGTTATCCTTCTCAGTTCTTATAAACTAGAGTTTACCAAATGCTTTAGATGCAGCATGACATATCTTTGTGTTGACAGTAGTGAAAACATTGCAATCATGTCAATTGTGCAGCCTTTCTCATTGTCATGCTAACCTGAGATTCAGTGGATAGCCATTTTAGCCGCTGCGAAGGAGATTACCATGCCAGTCCTGTTCTCTTTATTCATGTAAGATAAAGTGGAGCTAACAGACGTCTGTATCGGTGTCATAGTGTCAGGTATAGGGAAAGTGCTTGGTGTCAAAGACTTAAATTGTAGCCTCAACTCAGTCCTGCTCAGGCAACCTTTTGTTCTCGCTGTTGCTTATTTGCCAACAATTTTTTCATGAATGAAAGTGCTTGCTGCTTGCACTGATGCATGGATCTACCACAAGGACATAACGTTTTCTCTCAGTGGCTCTTATACAAGTTCTCATTAAAGGTAGCCTTGTTGCAAAAGTAGCTTTACAATTTCATTGCTGCTTGAACTTCCTGTGACACTTCAAAGATCTCGTCATTGCCCCTTTTCTTTGTGAAGTGCCCAGCAGGATGTGAAAAGACTACCTTACTCCGTGATTTTCATTTTAGAAAAAGTCCAAAGGCATTCACCCTCGTTGTGCTCCTCAGTCGTACACGAGGAGTCTTCTTAAGGGCCGTAGAGCGGCTGCAGAGTGAAAAGACTTTGAGTGAAATGTAGGGGAAAACTTTTTAGGATTTGGAACTTGAGTTCTATGAAAGTTAGAGAACAGCTGGCATAGAAACTTAAATTTACAACTTGCAGAATAACAACCTCTATGACTTTAACATCAGGAAGAACTGGGCTTGCAAAGCTGTATGTCTCTACTTTCCCCACATTTTCAGCACTTTAGTAACAACATCTTCCAAAGAAAAAACAGCTCTGCAAGAACAGCATTAGTGAATGCAAGGGTGCACAATGGTGGCTGTAACGTGTACAGATTAGTAAGCTAATACATGTTAATGTTTTAAGTTAAAATGTTTAATATCACATATTAGAAACATGAAATGCCAGGAAATGCTGCTGCGCCAGCACTGCTGTGCTGGCATTTGTAATTTGACATTGGATGGTAAAAAGTTGCACATTTGTGGAAAAAATGGAGGCTAGTAGCCAAAGAGCAACCCAGAAGTTATTTCTTGTAACCCTAAGAAGATACGCGCATCATTTTGTTTTACTCAGATATTTGGTAAAGAAGGCTAGAGCTAACAATGCTAACGGTAGTCAGCTCTAAAAATATCTCAAGGCTCAAGCACCAACAACTCGACATTGCAGTGAAATGTATTCATCACTTTACTGTGGATGACTCGTCGTTGCATGCCATCTAGAATCTAACTGGCAACAGTTGGTCAGAACAGGCTCGTGATAAGGTAACTGCAGTACAGACAGGATGCCATTCTTACTTCATCCACGTTTAACAAAATAAACTAAACCCCTGCCTTTAAAGCAGCTGTAGCCATGGACGTACTTTTCACTTTAGAAGTGTGTTTGTGTGTGTGTGTGTGTGTGGGGGGGGGGGGGGGGGGGGTATCTTTACAGTATGCTCTGATGGGAAACGGGCTCAACACAAACAATTGTTTTCCGCTTGGTCCTAGAGCTCAACCAATGTCAATTCAACATAGCGTAATGTTGTTTTTGGATGGTAAAAAAGTGCAGGGGTCAAAACTTGACTTTGGAAAGAGGGTGTGTGTGTGTGGGGGGAGGGGGGGGCATGTCCCCCCCCAAAATTACGTCCATGGTTTTAGCAAACCTACAAACAAGCTTGGTTTTGAATGCAAACATGGTCACGAAACACTAAGATAAGATAAGATAAGATAAGATAAGATAAGATAAGATAAGATAAGATAAGATAAGATAACTTTTATTAGTCCCACAAGTGGGAAATTTGTTTCGTTTACAGCCAAAGTAAAAGTAAAAGTTATGCAGAGGGAGAAAACACTAAAATACAATAAGTTCGATCGTAATGAGATAAAATAAACTCAATATAATAGATAATTTATACCTTAAGAATGGAGTAAAAAATAACCACGCTATATACAGCTCACTCCTACCCTCAGGTATCTTCCCTGAGACACTTCTGCTGGAACCGGAAAGCCACATTGCTGGAGAAAACGAGATAGTGCTAAACACCAGTCGCTGTTTTAGGTCCAAACGGCTTTTGTTGTCCGTGACTTTAAATGATATTTTTCTTTTTGGGGCTCTGGTAATTTGTCCTGAAGTTAAAGTGGTAGTACCTGACTGTTTCTCTTGCTCTGTTATTGAGCCACGGACCTCTCACATCAGTGGTGTTCTGTTGCTAAGTGCACAAGTGTGTAAGAAATGTAGGATGTAGGGAAGTGTGGAAAAGCTGCGGTTTGATGAGGCCGACAACCAGATGGTCCAATAGCTGCTTTTGGTCCAAAACAAGTTGTTGGCGGAGGATTTTAGACAAATGCGAGAGAGCCATTATGCTATTTATTTATTTCTATTGTCTACACAATGTAGTTATAGCTATACTACATTAGAAGGCTGTAAAGAGACATGACAAACTGTTTTAAGGTCATTTGTGTTCCCATTTTGCTATTGCAGCTTTAAGTTCAGAATCTGGACTGGAACCAGCATTAAAGTTAGGTTGACCAATCAACACAAGAACTAACTTAGTGTGTAACATCAAATGCTAGTGGTACAAGATTAGCTGGTGGTTGGGTGAAAGGTCAATTTGTCATAACAGAAAAGAGGATTTGGAGTGCGCAGTTCTCATCTCTGTCAAGGTGGATTTCTCATTGGTGCCTAACCTTTGGTGAACTGGTATACTGGTGACCTGGCAGCTTAAGACCTTGAACATGCCTATCTGGGACCACTGACACCTTGCAAATCCACAGGAGTTAAATAATCTGCTATTTATAAATTAGCTGGAACATAATTCCCACCCAGAGACTAAAGTTCCTTTCTTCAGCTTGATGGATGGCAATAATGAGCTGGTTTGTAAATTGCCAACCAAAACAACAAAAACAAGTTATTTCTCACTCCTTGTGGTCACTAACTGGTTTGTGTTTTCTTCTGCTTATAGTGTGACCATTAGTTTTCTTTGTTGTATGTGTGGTTCCTTTATCCTTCTTGCCAAAAATGGGTGTTGCTTGTTAATGTTCCTTGTCTAATATATTTCAAAAGATTTCTGAACGAAAAAAAAAAAAAAAAGAATATTACTTCTTGTAGATAACTAGCCTAGTGAACTAGACCAAATTCTTGCTTTGCAATGTTTGGTCTAGGCATGCTCCATTGGAACCTCAGCAGCTCCTACCTGGACTCAGGCTAGCCAATCACAGCTCTCTAGAGGGGTTTCAAACACATCAAGAGCTGTGATTGGTCCATAATGGTGGGCCAATCCTAGTGCTCTATCTGCTTAGTGAACAAATCACAGAGCTTTATCCGCTTTATGGGCCAATCAGGGCACTCTATATGCCTGGTGGGTGGGATGATGCAACAGAGTGAAACAAGAGTATGTCACATTCATTGTCCAGTGGAATGCGGAGATCATTTGAAAGACAACGGTAGAACCCGCCCCACAACTGAGAGCCGTCAATGGAGCGTGGCCAGACTAAATAATACATTTATTTAGTCTGGCTTGCCAGGCTAGTAGATAACTTGTTAAAAGACCCAGTCTCAAAAGTTATATAGCGGTTCACATTAGCACTACTTTACACTAGTGTGGTAATGTAGAATTAACCAGTTCTGTGCAAAGATGTGGTTATTTCCAACTATAAATATCATCAACGTTTTAGTTGTGCACATTCAGTGCAGCTTATAGCGCTTTGGATAGAACATAATATTAATTCTGCTATAATAACCATGGTCTCCTAATTGATGGTGGTGTAGAACAGTAGTGGACTGGCCATCGGGCACACCAGGACACTTCCTGGTGACCTGCTTGGTACTGCCGACAGCGATACCAACAGACTAGGAAATTCAGTACCCAGATCTTTGTTGAACATGCTGTTTGTAAACTTGTATGGATTATTGGTTTGTCATTGGGATGTTAGAATGGGACCTGAATGGACCAGCATGAACAAACACTTGTGCTATTCATTCATCACCCCCCTTCATTCCTTCACCTGCACCTCTTGTGTGTTTCACAGGAAAACAAGCTGCGTCATCGCTTCGGTGTCATGGACAATGAAAACGGGCAGCATGCGCCACCTCTGCCCCCCCGTACAAGCTTTGAGAGGACAATCACTGTTGTCCGGGGCAACCGTAGCCTTGGTATGTTCTCCGTCTTTCTCATGGTGATGGTGTCTTGGTGTGTGTACATCGCGGGCATGGCAATGATGACGCTAATAGGAGGTGCTGATGACGACTGCCCTGAAGAGGAGTGGTGACATGATGCGCCTCTCGTACCTGAGAGGACATCATTTGTGTGTGTGTGTGTGTGTGTGTGTGTGTGTGTGTGTGTGTGTGTGTGTGTGTGTGTGTGTGTGTGTGTGTGTGTGTGTGTGTGAGAGAGAGAGAGAGAGAGAGAGAGAGAGAGAGAGAGAGAGAGAGAGAGAGAGAGAGAGGGGGGGGGGGTTAAACTATTTATCTAGGTCACAATGTCACAGCATTCTTTGACTTCATCCATTTTAAAATGGTCTGGATCATCTTGCCGGGATATTCCATGAAGTGTTATCTTCCGGAAAATAGCACACATAAGGTTCGTAGATTTTTGAAGAATTTTCAAAAAGATTTTTGAAAAACAAAAAGTGGCATGCAAAAGTTTGGGCACATTTGATTCAAAGGTCAGAGTAAAAATCTTTGAAATGTGTCTAGTTTGTTTTCCCACAATAATATAAAAGGGGAACTAAAGATTGTGCATCAAACATGTGCAAAGGCATTTCAGTTAACTCTTTTCATTCCTAGTTGGGATGATCGTTACCCATTCTGCACCCATTATCTCTATCATCTCTAACAGGGAAGTGAGACAAATAGCTGAGATCTTTAAGAATATGTCCCTGTGGGCCTCTGTACAGCTTGTTGCAACAAGTGGGGAAGAGGAAAGCATGACTTTCTACTCCATGTGATTAGAGGAAATAGTGAAGGAAACCGTGCACGGTCTCTGCAACTCATTTCAATGTACTAAAGGCAGGAAAGGGATAGCAAAACAAGTTAGTGGTCTTGTCATCATGACTTTTTCATACCTTGGAACTGAAGAAATGTCCACTGCACATGTTCAGTCTCTAAACCAGGCGTGGGGAACCCTGGTCCTCGAGGGCCGGTATCCTGCACATCTTTGCCGGTATCCTGCACATCTTTGCACCAACACTTCTGATTCAGTGGTTGATTCACCTGTGCAGCAGCTCATCAGGTTCTGCAGAAGCCTGTTAATCCCCTGCTGATTGTAATCAGATGTGTTGGAGCAGGGTTGAAACTAAAATATGCTGGATTCCGGCCCTCGATGGACCAGGGTTCCCCACCCCTGCTCTAAACCTTAAGAATCAGTTTTAACTTTTTAAGTTTGCAGAATATGTTTGCAAGCACGAAGCTTGTTTTGATTTGGTTTATCAAGGACACATGAAAGTCTTAAAGAATGATGAAACCCAATGATGGTGAATAGTTGTAGTTACATTTTTTAATTTTATTTTAAATGGTACTACAATTTCCCTGCATGAAACATTTAGATTGCATAGTTGTAACACTCTCCACATTACACTTACAAGATAAACATAATAAAATAGATACTAAAATGCTATTTTTTATCATGTATCCATCGATCCAATTTTCTTTATTTTGATTAGGAGGGAGCAACAGAACCAACAAGTTCAGTAGACCAAAAGAAACAAAGGTGAACCAAAGGGGTTCAAATGAAGGCAACTGGACTTCTTTGGTTTCTTGAAGATGTATCACTTCTCATTTGAAGAGCTTTGTCAATTCTGACTGAAATATGGGAGAGTCAGTCTTATAAACTGTAGCTATTGCAGCTCAGTGAGCTGAAACTACCATCGAATACCCCTCCTCACTTCCTTCTGATGAGTTGTTGAAGTTGTTTAGGCCTCTTTTGTGGGAATTGATTAGATGCAGGAGGGTGTGACCTAGACTGAAACTGTTTTGGACTTGGGTTTAAAGCTGCATTGTAAGCCTCAGGCTTCACATGTTCAGCACCTACAATGCCAGCCTGGTAAGCCATCCTATACATGTGAATGCATCGTCTGGCCAGGGATATTGACGGCTTTCAGTTGTGGAGCGGGATCTAAGGATGTCTTTCAAACTGTTTCCGCATGCTAATGTATGACAGTGTGTGGTAGTCACTGCTACAGAAGTGGGTCAACAAGGCAGTCCACCACACTCCATCAAGAAAATGTAGTACACCATTTTTCTAAATGAATTTGAGTACCTCTATCTGCTCTTGACACAAAGAAAAGCCCAAGTCAAAATAGGCTAAGCTGATGCCAAAGTAATTTCAAAAGAGCCGTCGCCATCTTATGTTTATTATGTTGATGTTTATTTATTTGGCAGACGCTTTTATCCAAAATGACTTACAATTTATAACCTATATGGTATGTTGTGATCTGTGGGGGAAACCGGAGTACCCGGAGGAAACCCACGCATGCATGGGGAGAACACGCAACTCTACGCAGAAAGGCCACAGCCGAGTTTCGAACCTGCGACCTTCGTGCTGCGAGGCAACAGTGCTAACCACTGCTCCACCATGCAGCCCATCTTTGCTTTTTCAGTAACATCTATAAAATAAACATGCTGTGATTAGACAGCCACAATACTGGCTGGGATTGCTAGACCAACATCCATCCATCCATTTTCTGGGCCCGCTCTGTCTGCGCGGGGTTGCGGGGGGGTGGGGGGGTGGGTGGTGGGGGGGGGGGGGGGGGGCTATCTCCAGCAGTCAACGGGCAATCAGGCGGGGTACAACCTGGGCAGAGAGCCAGTCCATCGCAGGGCAACACAGACACAGGACAAACACTCATGCATACACACACACTAACACCTGAGGACAGTTTAGAAAGACCAATCAACCTAACAGTCATGTTTTTGGACTGTGGGAGGAAGCCGGAGTACCCGGAGAGAACCCACACATGCACAGGGAGAACATGCAAACTCCATGCAGAAAGATCCCAGGCCGGGAAGCGAACCCAGGACCTTCTTGCTGCAAGGCAACCGCTCTAACCACTGCGTCACTGCGCAGCCCCAAAATTATTAAGTTAGGGCAAATGGTGGTTTAGATTTTAGGCTACTACAAAGCAACTTGAAACCTAATTCTAAAACGGTTTCTGTCCAGATCACACCCTCTTGCATCTAATCGGAATCAGAATCAGAATCAACTTTATTGTCAGTGCCCTTGAGTCCAGAAGCACAGAAATGTGTCTCTGCAGTACAACCTGACCAAGGTTACACACACAAAATATGTCTGCTAATAAAAACAACAATTCCCACAAAATACACCCTAACAACAAGGGGTAGGGAGGAGGGGCATTCATAGGTAGTTTCAGCTAATTAAGCAACAATAGACAGCTTCAGTTTGTTAGCTTGACGCTCCCGTATTCCAGTCCAACACATTCTCACACCCCAAGTGTCGAAAAATGACGTGGTGTGACCAAGCACCAAAATATGACGGTCAGGGTGCCCCAGCATGTCGGGAGAGGACGCGCAGGGACACGCGTTGTGCCACAGCGTCCGTATCCGACGCTCGCGGTGAGACGGACATTTAACCGACATTTTCTCCTCTAACCTCTTTAACCTTCCCCTCACCCCCATCCTAACCTTATGTTTATGTTTATGTATTTAGCAGACACTTTTGTCCAAAGCGACTTACAAGTGATAATCGGCCCATGAGGCTAACAACAACAATAACAACAACATTGACATCAGTCATAGAGAGTAGGGAACAAGGAGTGGACAGTAGAGAGGGGGACGGGTGCAGGGAAGGTGCTAGTTAAGAAGACCCTCTCTGAAGAGCAGGGTCTTCAGGAATTTCTTGAAAATTGAAAAGGAAGCCCCTGTTCTGGTAGTGCTTGGAAGGTCATTCCACATTTGTGGAACGATGCATGAGAAGAGTCTGGATTGTCCTGAGCGTGGTGTAGGCACTGCTAGCCGACGATCCCGTGATGACCGGAGTGGCCGGGCCGAGACGTAAGCCTTTGCAAGAGGATTCAGGTAGATGGGACCATCTCGGACTTTGTATGCTAGTGTTAGCATTTGAATTTGATGTGTGCTGCTAGCGGTAGCCAGTGGAGCTCAATGAACAGAGGGGTGACGTGTGCTCTTTTTGGCTGATTAAAGACCAGACGCGCCGCTGCGTTCTGGACCATTTGAAGAGGTCTCACAGTACAGCCTTAACCCAGTATGTCTGTGCACATTTACAATTAAGCATGTTTGAGGAACGACAGAACGCGAAACAAAGCTTGGCATGCACAAGCTGCTTAAGGTTAGGATGGGGGTGAGGGGAAGGTTAAATAGCAAGAGGGTAAAGGTCACAAATTGGTCAAATGTTCGTCTCACCGCAGGCGTCGGACACCGATGCTCTGGCACAGAGCGTCCTCTCCCGACACGCTGGGGCACCCTGACCATCATATTTTGACGCTTGGTCACACCGCGTCATTTTTCGACGCTTAGGGTGTGAGAATGCATTGTCCAGTCAGAACTGACAAAGCTTCTCAGATGAAAAGCAAAAAGTCTTGACGAAACCAAAGAAGTCCAGTTGCTTTAAGCTTAGAAATTTTGACTTTTAATTCACTTTAAAGAAATGTCCCCCAATTTGCTAAATACATTTAAATGAATACATTAAATTATTTGCCCAAACTTTTGCAGCACACAGCCAAGTAAATAAGTAAATAATTGCATCCATAGTACTTGAGAAGCACTGCAAGATCCTTTGTGCTTTCTTCTTTAATACAAAGCCACTACGAATGACTCCACCCATTTGTGTCCAGAACAGTGTTGGTTTGTAAAAGACGATCTGAGTTGCTTTTAGAGCAGGATTCAAGGGAAAAAGGTTTGCGGTAGTTAAAGTGGGTCTTTTTTTTGCCTTGCCTGTATGAAACATGACAATGAGAAGCCTATATAGTCTTTTAGGATTCTTGAAATTTGTGAATCACTTGCTGTAAAGCTACTGCTCTTAAAACGTTTCTATGAAGTGTTATTGAGGTTGGAACATGCTTTAATATTAAAAAAGATAGTTTTAAACTGAATCTACTTAAATTAACTTGAGTGAATGTACTTAAATACTGTCTTGTGGTACTTCAGCACTTTTGGTGTTTATAATATCCTTTATAATTTATTGTGATTTAGTAAAATGTGTGTACTATTCGTCCTTTAAGTCGCAGCGATTGTTTGTCCAGTTGATTGTACTCCAGGCACTATGATTGTATTGCAATTTGAATGTAATAACAAAAGAAACAATAAAATATTTGTTTAAGTAAAATAAGCACAAAGTCATTTTTTGACTAGTTTCAAATTGTGTACAACCATAGTGTTGTGGATGTGCAGCGCTAGTAGATAGCAGTGGTGTTTGCCTTAGACCAGACTGCCTAATGTATCAATGCATTCCCTTTTAGTGTGTGTGTGCATGAGATGTGTGATGCCTGATTTACCTACTTCTGCCTGTTTGCATTAATGAAGTGTTTGTGTAATCCACCTAGTGTCCAAATTAATAATGCCAAAGTCTGGTGTTTGTGCAGTCGGCATGTGTTGCTCCTTAGGTCACCTGTGCCCTTTGCCCTCTGTGGGTGTGACTGAGTTTTTTCAGTGTGTGTGAGCGTGACTGAAGGAGGATGTAAATGTCAGGGATGTGTGTCCGTGTCCGTGTGCTAATCTGCCTGGTGTCTGTCTTGATTATGCTGATTATTGCTGCAGTCAGGTGCTTGTTTGGGCAACTGTCTGTTTGGCATCGAGTCAAAATGGTCTTAGACGACTAGCCAACCCTCCATTCACTCGTGGTTGTGTGTGATGTGTGTACATGTGTGTGTGTGTGTGTGTGTGTGTGTGTGTGTGTGTGTGTGTGTGTGTGTGTGTGTGTGTGTGTGTACACGTGCATGTGTGTGTGTGTGTGTGCTGCATATTGGCAGGGATGTCGGTGAGCGCTATCAAAGACGGCACAGGCATGCTGGTCCGGAGTTTGGTCCAAGGGGGCTCTGTTTGCCAGGACGGCAGACTGGGGGTGGGTGATGTCATCTTGGCCATCAACGGAGCAGCCACCTCTAATCTGACCAGCACCCAGGCCAGGGCCATGCTACGCAGACACTCTGTCATAGGGCCAGAGATAAGGTGAGGGGATGGTCTCTTACCTGTCGCTTTATAAATAGTAGATAATTCTATTCTGTCTCATAAAAAGGCCCCTTTTATAAAAGCAGTATTTTCTTTTTGGTCTGGAACATGTCGGTGTGTTTTAATACAATGCCAAAGACAATCGACATCAGCAACTGTTGCTGTCCATCAGTTATGAAAGGTTATAATAACAATTACAAACAATTTGGAGGCCATGAATTTACACTGAGAGATGATTTAGAAGTAGAAAATATTTGAAAAGGCTGCCTTCCCAGGAGCGAGAGGGCCGGAGAATTTGCATACAGATTGCATCTAAAAGAACCGCAAGATGAGACCAAATTAGAGATGTTTACACATCACCATATCCAGGAAAAGACAAACACACAATTTCTAAACAAGCACCTCCCACCAACTGTCAGCACGGTGGTGGAGGGTTGATGATTAAAACTCAGTGAAGTCACAGCATTGAACTCTGCTTTAGACCAAAAGATGTGAGTCTGTTAAGGCAGCTGAAGTTTGGACCAAACTGGGTCATTAACAAGAAAAATCCTTCCAAATGCATGAACACTTGTTCCACAGAATGACTGGAAATCAAAAGAATCACGTGACTGCAATGATTCAGTCAGTCCAGGTGTCAACATGATGAAATGCCGTAGTGTGACCTTACAGATACAGTAAGTAAGAATTTTACTGTCTAATGCAGGGGTCACCAACCTGGTGCCCATGGGCACCAAGATGCCCCCAGGAATCCTGTTGGGTGCCCTCAGGCCTGTTCTAAAAATAGCTAAATTCCTCGCTCCGCAAAGTCAAATTTTTTATTTTCTGCTGCTATTTTTTAAAATCACACTTAATGTGATTTTTAAAAAATGGGAGCAGAGTTAGCCTTTATAATTACAGGAACTACAGAATAAAGCCACTGAGTTGTACAATGAAGTTTTGGGAAAGAGTGGTGGAAGCTAGACTTGGGTCAGAAGTGACCAGCTGAGTGGCATTACTGTTTCATATCAAGATAGAGTTCTACTGATGCTATTTTTGCTTTAAGGATGCTGATGGAGAAGTACAGAGAAGGTCAGAAGGATGTGCATCTTTGTAGATTTAGAGAAAATGTATAATGGGATGAGATGAGCTGTGGTGCATGAGAAGGTCTGGAGTGGCAGAGAAGAATGTTACGCTGCTTACACAGTCCACTCCGCATGGCCTGCCCCAGCCTGGTCACGTTTGTTCCACACTGCCTCAGCAACGTGGACTTGATTGAGCACATAGGTGGTCTCTAAAATTGGTGCGAAAAATACAGTACAGGCCAAAAGTTTGGACACACCTTCTCGTTTAATGTGTTTTCTTTATTTTCATGACCATGACCATTTACAAAGGGGCCAACAAAGTGCTAAACATCTCTGGGAACTCCTTCAAAACTGTTGGAAAACCATTTCAGGTGACTACCTCTTGAAGCTCATCAAGAGAATGCCAAGGGTGTGCAAAGCAATCTTCAGAGCAAAGGGTGGCTATTTTGAAGAGAATAGAATATTGGGAACTAGGAACTTCAGGGTAATTTTACTGGAACTTTGCAGCATGTGTATATCTCCATTTCACTGAGCAAGCAAAAATGACCACTTTCTGGGCCATTTTCAGAACCAACAGAATACCTCGACAAGGGTAGGTATGTGGAATGGCCTGGCTGAGTCACTGAACGGGACTTGTTGTAAACTCATGCTGATTGGTTGGCTGTAATTCAGTTGGAAACGGCATCAGCAGACGTTGCCAAACAACTGGCATCTGTAAACTTGGAAGAACTGCTGGAGAACCAGAATAGAAGAAAAATAATTTTAAATTGCCATTACTAAACTTCCAACATCAAAAAATGCAAAACATGACACTCCCCACAAAGATGTTATCCACAGGGATTTGTTGTCTCACAGAGCACCGCAAAGTTGGTGCTTCTTCACTCACTGCCACGAGAGTTAGCAATGTTGTAAAAGGGCTGCATTTGTTGAGATACAGTGGCTGAGAGAATTGAGTCATCATATCTCTCGGCAATTTTTCACTCTTCCAGACATTTTCCGGAACCCCTATAAGTCACGCCTATCTACTTCTGGACAATGGGTCCCAGGAAATATGAAAAAAAGAATGCAAGTCAATGGAGCTATAAAAGCTATTTTCTGATCCTGTTAGTTATGTTCCCTCAATTCCACATACCATCCATCCATTTTCTTCTGCTTTTCCGGAGTCGGGCCGCGAGGGCAGTAGCCTAAGTCGAGAGGCCCAGACTTCCCTCTCCCCAGCTACTTGGGCCAGCTTCTCCGGGGGAATCCCAAGGCGTTTCCTGGCCAGGTGAGAGACATAGTCCCTCCAAAGTGTCCTGGGTCTCCCTTTAGGCCTCCTACCGGTTGGACGTGCCTGGAAAACCTCACCAGGGAGGCATCCAGAAGGGATCCTTACCAGATGCCCGAGCCACCTCAACTGGCTCCTCTCGATGTGGAAGAGCAACAAATCTACTCCAAGCTCCTCCCAGAAGACTGAGCTTCTCACCCTATCTTTAAGGGAGAGCCCAGCAACTCTGCAGAGAAAACTCATTTTGGCCGCTTGGATCCGCAATCTCATTCTTTCGGTCACTACCCAAAGTTCGTGACCATAGTTGAGGGTAGGAACGTAGATCGACCGGTAAATTGAGAGTTTCACCTTCTGACTCAGCTCTCTCTTCACCATGACAGATTGGTACAATGCCCGCATCACTGCAGATGCAGCACCAATCCACCTATCGATCTCATGTTATCTTGGACTGGATACATGACAGGATACCACAGAACAGCGCCATGCCCTCTGTTGCCCTGGCGGGGAATTGATTTGCAACATGCTGCACGAGACAGAGAAGAATGAGGGCAAATAGTCTCCATCCGTGCGTGCGTGTATCTCCCTCGTGGAGCTGACGCAGAACTATAAATTAGGCTTTAGACTCCCCATTGTGGAAATATCTCATGTTAGTGGGGAAAAGGAGCAACCTAGAAGCTGCAGCACCCTTTTGTTTTGGTCTAATATCAGGCAAAGATGGCTAGAGGATAATGTTGAGCTAACAATGCTAAGAGTGAATTAGCAAAAATAGTTGGCTCTTAAATATCTCTAGCTACTTTCTAAATTGCCAACAGCTTGAATTGAAATGTTTTTCTCTACTTATCAACTTACTGTGTATGACTCGTCATCTAGAATCTTCCGGCGCTGATCTGTAACTGGCAGTAGCCACGGCACTCACCAACAGGAGTGAGAGTCACTTGTGTGTTTCGAAAATTGACTGCAGTACCCAAATTTAACCACATGATGTCAGTCTAATTCCATTCTTACACCATGCACGTTTAAAAGAGCCGTTGATATATAAATGCCTTCAAACGTCAGTGAGCAAAAGCAATAGCTGAAGGTGGTTCTACCAGTTATTTATTCTAGGGCAAACAGTTTTCCATGGTGTTTCCATTTTGTATGTTTAATAAATGGTAACCTCACCTACCTCACCTCACCTCACCCACCTTTAACTAATTATTTAGATCTCAGATACACGACTCTGCAAAATAACGGCTGACCAACCTTTTCAACCAATGACCTTAAATTGGCATGCATAGCAACACATTTGTAATATTCATCCTAATTAACAATCTACTAGAAAGTCAAGGCCTCGGATGTTAATGGTTTAAAGACCTTGCTTCTCTGCAGATGTATTCATTTATTTCAGATAATTAAATCTCTGCTCAGTTTGAGCTTAAACCACACCAACTCAGTTACTTAAAACAAGTTTCAACGTTGTTGCAACGGTTCATAGAAAATGAGAAATCTGAACTTTATTGTTATGTATATTAAATTGTTGTTTTTTGGGTGGCCACTGTAGTGGACAGAACATTCAGTAAATAAAACTTAGACAAACGAGAAAGTTTGATGTATTTCAGTTTGATTATTTATTGATTTGATAAATTATGGCAAATGTAGAATCAATGCAGGAAAATGAAAGTTCACTCTAATGCAGGGGTGTCAAACTCATTTTAGCTCAGGGGCCACATTGAGGGAAATCTAGTCCCAAGTGGGCCAGACCGGTAAATTAAAAACAACTTCAGATTGTTTTCTTTGTTTTAATACAATCAATATAAAACAAGGCTGGAGCCTGAGGACAGTGTATCCAAAATAGTACAAGTACAACACCTGATGTGTACTTGAAATTTTGAAAAAAAAAAAAAAAAATTCAATCAATAAAAAAAACATTCCTTAGTGATTCAAAGAGCTTACAGATCACATGGCTAGATCAGTTTCCTGCAGCACTTAAAGTATACCGTAAATCCTCTAATACAGGCCCGGGCCTGTATTTGACTCAAGCTCATCAAGCTCCAGGCCTTTATTGGAAGGAGGGCCAGAATTAGAGGCAGGCCTCTATTTCTATTTGAGCAAAATGAACTAATGGTTCGCTGGAGTTTTTGACAATTAAAATTGCGCCCACATTTTCAAAGTTAAACACATTTCTTTTAACAACGGTAGTTTCTGCTTCAGCCCTCTCCCCCCTCCCCCCGCTTCAGCCCTCTCCCCCCTCCCCCAGCGCAGCGGCCGCAAACTCACTGATGCGCCTGTAGCTTCTCTGAGTTCCTGCTGCTCTAAACATTAAAATAATTATTTCATTTTCTGTTCCTCACTTCTGATTACCTTCAATGGTGTCTGTTTGTTGCAACCACCAGGTACAAAAACTAACTTGTTTTTATTTGACTATTTTTCTGTCCTGCCTGTTTATTATCTTCCCGCATCTCCTCTCAATCCTAAAGAAAAACTGCTCCCTGGCTTCATATATATTCACCTTATGAGTTACCTTTGAACTGCAGTTCTAAAAGATCTACCGACCGCAAAAACAGCGCAGTGCTCGCTGCTTGGCGGCCGTATCAGTGATCGGTGCGTCAGAGGACAAGGTGATGCGCGCAGCGCCCCGCTCCACAGCATGCAGCGAAACACATCAGGCGCAAATAAAAGACAGAAAACATTAA